CTCTCACACCTCGTAGATTGGTCCAATTTCAGTAATTTATTTTTTGTTTGTTGGAAGAATATTTTTACAGGGCACATTGGACTTCGATTTTATACATTTTAATACAAAACTAAAAAGTTGTAAAATGGATTTAAATTCAAACTTGTAATATAAGATTTCGAAAAACAATTTTGAAAATCCAAGACAAATGCAAACTGCAATAAGTCTTCCACTGTTTAACAAAAAAAAAAAAATTACGGAAATCAGACCAATCTACGAGTTTTGAGAATAATTCCATACGGCATGAATTATTTTTCAAAAAAAGTACATAAAATATTCCTGTTTATTAAAAAGTACTTAAACCTAATTTTATTTAGATTTTAATCAAAATTAATTTACTGTACAATGAATAGCAAGAATTATATTTTTAAATTATAGATTTATATTTTTTAAGAAATGTAAAAAAAATATGAATTATAATTGAATTAAAATGTTTACAATTAAAAATCTACGAAAAGTATGATAACATTTATGATTAATGATCAGTTATTATTATACATACAGAAAAACATAAAACATATTCATTATAACTAATAATTTAAATTGTTATTAAAATCCAAACCTTGAAGTACAAAGAAAATTTTCGTGGTCACAAAAAATATAATTATATCGAAAAAGGTATCTCATGTAAAGAAACAAATGAATACTATACATTTAATTTAAAGATCATTAAACAGTTCATTTAAATAAACATTTGTTCGATAAGAGGGAACTGTAAATATCTTAATCTTAGCATCAGGCATCATAGTATTTAACAGTTTCCATAGATCATCAAGTGTAAGTTTATCAACACTACCATCTGACTTGTCTTTTTCTTTTTCAGCAGTGCCCTCATCTCCTGGTCGCTGTCGGGGCTCTCTTGTTCTGAGCTCAGGTATATTGTTGGTCGTTTCTTTGGTATGGGATGATTTTAATGTATAATAAGTACGCATCTTACGAAAAGTATTTATAAATAATTCTGCAACACGAACTACATCATGAGGAAATAACCAAACCAAGTGTGTTAATGTCTTGGAGAGTTTCTCGAGACAGTCAACCACGTGATAGATAGCAGTTCCAATCTAAAAAAAAAAATTAGATTAATATTAATAAATAGATGTTATGAAGTAGTAGTATAATACATAAGAAGTATAGTACATACTCTATCCTTATATTTAGGAATAATCAAGAAAGCCTTAATACTATCACATTTTTCCAATTCCTCTTTGACACATTTACTGAGTTCTATGTTTACCAATTCCAGAACATTGAGCTTTTTAAGACCTCTAATGACAGTAAAAACGTCATGTGCAGATTGATCCCATCCATTACAGCAATTTTCTAATCTCAATGTTTTCAAATTGATGAATCTTTTTAGTGACACGGCAAAATCCTTTGTTAAATATTTGCAATCACCAATTTCCAAAAACTCAATAGTGTCAGTAATAGTATTCAATCTCTGATAGATCTCTTTTGGAAATTCTTTAATAGACGTTAATGACTACATAAAAATAATAATAGTAAATATAATACTTTTCTTTAATTAAATATTTTAATATATATATAATCAATATACTAAACTTACAAATCTATTCAAATTTATTAAATTTTCAAATGATGGCAATGCCGTCAATTTTATTCCAGTTAAACCTTTTAGTCTTAACTCTGTAAGCTTTGTCATTTGTCCCAAATGACTTAAGTTTAGGTACATTAAATCATTGGGAGTTTTTATCTCTTTCATAAAATTTGGATTCCTAAAAATAAAATTAATTATTGAAACTATTGAAAAAAAGTTGAATTATATTTTCTTTATTACATTATTGAAGTAGCATTAAGTACTTCAATTTGAGGTAATGAGTAAATAATATCTTCAACAACAAGGACAGGACATCTATACAATTCAATGCATTTTAACTGTTTTGCTCTTTTCATTGCTTTTCATTGCATTTGCAAATCGCAACCAAAAACTTTCCAAGTCTTCAACTTTAGAGGGTCTCAACATACGTCTAGTGTTTAATGTATCAGTTCTTTGTTGATTAATTGTGTCTACAAACCTTTCCCAGTCATAGACCATACAATCTTTTAAACAAACCTTCCGCCACTAAAAATATTTGATAAATAAGCAAAAATACATTATATGACATTTTACTGTTATACTTACTAAGAGTTTATTCATTGCAATTATATGCCAGGCGGTACATACTCTAGAAGCTGATAACAGCTCATGCGTTTTCAAATATTTAAAAACATGTTCCAATGATTGAATCATGCAATTGAATGATGGCGTGGATGCGAAAGGTGTTGCAATTTCAGAATTCCTGTTAAATTTTATTAAAAAAAAAAAAAAATAGATTTAAAATTATTTTATCATACTTGAAAGCATTATAAATATTTATTTTTGTTCTCAACTAGGCACATATAAAGACTTAATAACACTAGCTCTAGCTTTAACATGCAAACAAAATTAGGCCTCAGAACATGTATGAAACAATTAGTAAATAACAAATAGGAGTTGAAAGTAATATAGGAAGGTTGACTTTCTGCTCAAATCTGAAAACAAACACAATCAAATGATTAAAGTGGTAAAAAAACGAACATTTAACATACATCCAGTCATACAAATAAGACCAATGACCAACGCTACTGTGTGTCTGGTCCATTTTTACATTCCCCAAGAGATAGGGAGAAGATAAAATATTTTAATAATTTCATAATGAATTTCATTCATAATGCAGTTTTAGAAATAGGTGTTCTGTCAATAAAAAAATTAGGTGTGTATGACATTTGATTCACCTGTCGTATACTAATTGGTTCAACACCTAGTTGTTACGGTTCAGTAGCAATGACAACCACAGTATGAGAAGACTATACACGTCTATTTCTTTGTCGCACAATAGATTGACAGTTCTAAATAAAAAAAAAAAAAGGAAAAAGTTTTATTGTTTTAAAAAAATTAATAAATCTGTAAATAATCACTTACTATACATACATAACTAACAATTTTTAAATTAGCATTCAAATTGATACATGCTGGATATTAAAAGCCCGACATTAAAGTGGCAGGTTCATCGTATCCTACAAGGTGTCCTGCATAATGACTTCACCAATTGATGTTTACAACTTCTTTTTATCCATTCGTGTGTGGTTGATGAGGATGATTATGAAGGAAGGATAACAGAAGGATAACAACCCATTAATTTTGGGTTACATTTGTGAAGCCAAATATTAAACTAATAAGCAAAAACTGTTTAAGCATTAACAATATAAATTAAAGCTAATATGTTACCGTCTTTTATTTATAGTGTTATTTATATCAATTTTCTCAAGTTTTTGAGAAGAAACTTTTGGCGATGCACTAGATTGAATAGCTTGGCAGTCTTCAGATATGTATTCAGGTTTAGATGAAGATGCATTCATTGATTCTGAAATACCTAGGTGATTATGTAAAATGTCAGTAATGTAATAAATTGCACAATAAAACAAATAATTATTTGTCAGATTAATAGACAAATAAATACACAAGGAGTTAAACCAAATATAAAATTATATTGTATGCAATTTAGAAAAATGTGAATTGTATTTTAACTAAATATTTCATAGATAGATTGCATTATGTGTGCATTTTAGAATATCATAATGAAATGCAGTAGGTATAATTTGAGATAATGCGAGTATACGAATTCACAACTGTTAGAGTCAATACCATTTATTTGAATTACCTAGGTTAATTTAATAATCTTTTTGAAAACCAATCATTATACCAATCATTAAACCCAGTACATAATATAAAACTCATACTGAACATTAAATATAATAGGTACTTTCACATGCATACTGTGTAATAATCAGCAAAATATGTTAGACTACTTGGGCTAAGATGAATAAAAATGATTATACAATATATTATTATATATAAAAATTACAAATTATTTTTTATTGGTTAACAATTTTCCAATGGATGCCCAACTGTCTTATTTCCGATTTATGTATTATACATTGGGGGTCACTCACCTAAAGTAGGGGTAACTTGTAATTCCAATGATTCTAAGGCATCACTGTGAAAATTGTCTTTCTTATGCCTCTTATCACTCCGATTGTTCTTAACATCATTAAGTTCTGGTGATGATACTATAAATCAATCATAAAATAATACATTATTATTACACATCCATAATATGCATGATATAAAATATAAAAATATAAGCAGATTTACAGAAAGTCTTTATAACTTACTCGTTGATATAGAATGTTTTTTTTTATTAACAATGGATGGCTCTTCGACTTCCATAGCTTCACCTGTTTCTTTACTTAGTTCCATTTTTACCCCTGAACGTGATCATAAAAAAAACAATTGATAACATTTAAAATTGGTACATATTTAATTTTAAGTTAAATACAATAGCTGTATAAACATATCATAGACAAAAAACTTACAATTTTTCTTATTTTCAATACTTCATCTTCAATATCAAATCCAAAAAAATGTTGTTCTGGTTTATTGGCCTCCTAAAAATAAACAAATTAAAATATAACTTATTATTGTTAATTTATCATATTATACAATCTTGCTACAGTATTATATGATTTATAAAACAAAAAATGTTGTCTGTTATTTATAATATAAGCTAATCTAGACTAAATTTTTAGTATGTAAAGAAGTGGTTTTTATATAAAGAACAATACAGAAATCAAGCACATTTTATTAGGATAAGTATTAAATGGGTAAGTTGTATTATATTCACATTATTTAGTAAGATTAGTAAATGTTAAATTAAGACAAATTATTTTTAATATTGTTTTTATTAATCTGCAATACAACAATACATAGTATATTGTTAACATTACATGTACATTATAACTTTTACACTGAAATAAGGGGCGAATGTAAGTTCCCACACGAGATAAAGCAGGTAAAAATGACACCGGGGTATGCATACATAAGTTACCACACGAAAAAATTACTTAGTAACGTAAGTTAAAAAAGTACGTTAGTTCCCACACGAAATAAAAAAACTACACCAAATACAAACTTCCTTCCCACTTTATTCAGACATAGGACTGACAACTTAAATGTAGTTGATGTGGTTAAATTTTGATTGTTTTTTGTGATGCATAAAAAAAGTACAATCAATTTTTTAATTTAATCTAGTCAAAATATATAATAAAAATTAATAATTTAATGTGTAGGTATGGTCCACATATAATTTGTACAGGTATAAAATAATAATAACTATAATAATTATAATAATAGTAATAGAAAAATTATATTGTATTTAGCTTATTGTGAAAGCTCAAACGCTGAAACACTTCACATCGTCATACAGCATACTGTGTAATTATTTTTAAGTTATAATCTGATATTTTGTTATTGATATAGTTTCCCTCTAGTATTTGGGCTAGTGCTAGTTCTGATACAGGTCTTACACAAACGCTTGCAAAAGTACAAATAATATGTGGACCTACACATCATATTATTAATTTTTATTATATATTTGGACCAACCACGTTTAAGTGGTCAGTCCTAAGTCTGAATAAATTTTCGTGTGGGAAATTACGTACGGGTGTAATTTTTCTCCGTGAGCGAACTTACATATGTACCCGCTTATAATAATAAAATACAAATTAAACTTTCCATTAAGGAACTCATTTTTTAAAACCATGTGAAAAAGGCAAATAACTTATAAATGTTGAAAATTACAATGGATAAGAAAAATCTTTTGATGTACTGTACTATAACAGTTATCAGTACTCAGTTAATGAGATAGGGGGTCAGTGATACTGTTGCGCCATCAAACTCCTACCTTGGGGCGGTTAATCTGACGACTTGCGTTGGTTAATAAAACTTATTCATGGTACAGGATGTCGAAAAGAAAAGCTTGTAAACCGATATACCATATACCTACACGTATTTTGGCATTTATTACAAAATCATAAATATAAGGAACAATATATATATATAATTCCTACGCGCGTATACAGATACTAAATCTTATAGTTATAGTACGATAAATCAATAATGTTAATGAAAATACAATAACAATAACAATTAATACGACCATAGACCTATAAACTAATGGACAGCGCTTAGAGAGAGAGTTCAGGGGTACGACATACATTATTAGTTTCATACGTCTATGATTTCCCCCATTATGTTTGTTTTCTCTTTCTCTTATATGACTGTCCACCAAGATTCCCCCAATATGTTCTCTCTCACTCACTCCATATTGGCGCCACTCATTGATGGCTGGGTGGTGAGTGAGGTGCAGTCCATTAGTTTATAGGTCTATGAATACGACCGTGCGACAGATTATAATATAATGACGACGGCAGTTGGGACATCAGCTTGCGGTGCACCGACGGAGTGGTTATCAACAGTCTCGGCAACGATGACGGCGGCTACACAAATAATTGTCGTGCGCGTCGACTGACGTTGCGTAACACCGAGCGAGACAACAACGTACGATGTGCCCGCTATCGGCGGCGATACGTGACAGGCACACGATACGATTTAATGGCGTCACCGAAGCGACGTCGAATACGAGAACCACGTACACGGCCGCAAACGTAGGGAGTAAGCGGTAACAGTGGCGAACGTCAACTATTAAGTTGACACCGGCAATGAGTTAGTACTTACAAACTTTCGGAGACAACTGACCCGTACAGCAGTCGTGCAGGTCCGGAGTAAAACTAACTGCGGTATCAGAACGACGTACGCCACAAGGTGCAGCTGGCGACACGAGAAACCACAGAGATAATCGCCGTTGAACGGCCGTCGGGACCAAAGGGTTATGACGGCTAAGGGTAATGACGACTTTGTGGCTTGTGCACAAATACGCGGAAATGGCGGCGCGTCGATAGTCGTAATCTTCAACAGCTGATACCAAAGAACAGACAAAGAAACGACACGAGCGCTTCCCCGCGGTAAGGCAAATTTTGGAAGAATGGATTGAACTTTTGGACAATATTATTATCATTTTCACATATGAATAGGTATTATGACCTACCTACTTAATTTTAAATTGTTCGCAATGAAAGTGATAAATGATAAATCGTAATGCATCAATACAAAATTTAAATTGCCAGTGTATTTTTTTCTTGGTTTTTCACATTGCTTGACGATAATTGCTTATTATAAATTTTTACAATTATTTTTAATTAATTCACATCTGTTCGGTCTTTTTTCTCACCATTATTAGATTTGAAATGTCGCTCCAGATTAACTTACGTACATACACCGAGTAAGTGCAATTATAGGTATTAAAAGACTGTACAATTTACACTACTAACGTGGATGAAAAAATCAAGGAAAAATAACAAAATTTTTCGTTCCTTTCTAGTTCCAATAATTTACACAGATATGTAAATAATTGAAATTAAGATATATTTTTTCTAATGTGTATAATGCATCTAGCCAATTATTGATTGTTATCGAGTATATAAGTTTATCGTTGCTTATTAGTCAATTTGTTAAGAGGACGCCACACCCGCTTGTGTTGTCTCCGTCTTACAAACGCGTAACATATCAAATTTTACACTCTGCAGATCATGTTTATCTCCGTTAGTTTAAAAGTTAGAGTGAATTGACCTCTTATTAAATATAAAGGTAAGATTATATTCCGGGCATCTCATAGGCATTTTATTATATTTTAATTTTAAAACGAATATCGTGTATTTTAAGATGTACAAACAATTTACAATTTTAAAACAGTAATAATTCGCTCTAAAATTAAAATATAATAAAAAGGATATGAGATGCTCTCGATAATAATCTTACCTTAAATTTAATAGGAGGTAATTTACTCTAATGTAAAACTAAGGGAGATAACGTGGAGCCTACAATTTGCTATGTTACGCACTTGTAAGACGGAGACAACGAATGTGAGTGTAGCTTCCTCTTAATATTTATCATACGTTATAAGTTATAATTTATATAGAAATGAGTAGATACCTACCTATATAAAATATAATTATTGATAACAATAAACGATAAGACATTCGACATGTGTCGGCCAACAATTTAATTTTGAAGATAATCTCAAAACAGAATTATAAAATATGTAGGTACCTACTTGTAGTTAAAAATTATTAAAGAAGAATGCATATGAAAAAAAAAAACATTAATGATTAAATAAGAATTTTTATTTTATTCAGAACTAAAAAAGGAACTCGTTCATTTTCCAAAAGAATGAATTTTTTTTTTTTTTGTAAGGAATGGAACGAAACGTATTTCTTTTTAAAAGGAACTTGCCGAACACTGGATATACCATAAACCAACATCATTTATATATATGATATAATAAGATAAGGTTGTCATTGGTTACAGCAGCTTGCTCTTGAAGTAGAGGCTCTGATCCGGTCAGTTTTCCGGTGTATGTTTTGCTATTCAGATGTTTCAGCAGATCTTCTGAATCCTGTCTGACAGTAGCAGCTCATATCTTGTTGATCTTCAAATTTGATTGTTTAGGTATTATTTTAAATAATTTCTAGTAGGTACTTAAAGTTTGTTGACAGATGAGGCATCCAAAGACGGTTTGGTTATGTGTAACATTCAAAAATCATATTATGATTAAATGAAAAAAACCCATAATGATACATTTTTTATTGTCTGGAGCCAATGGCAACCCGGCGTTAGTACCAAAGATATGTTTTTTTTTCAAAAATGTATTTGTAACCAATGGCAACTATATAAAAATGCACAATATGTAGTATATCTGCTAATCATAAATTAATACCTATAATATAACCAATTTTAACCCTAAAAATAATTAAATACAAATATTTGATTTGCTACCCTCTAGCTACCTATAGGTGTTGAAAAGATAGGTACACTATAAACACCTTCCAAGTCACCAGGAAACTATTGATATAACTTTTATTGAAACCGGTAAAGTAGTAATTAAGTCATTAGCTAATAGACAAATATTCATTTTTTATATAGGTAAACGAGATATTATGTTTTTTAAATATTAAAATAAGTAAATAACATTATTCCAACTGTAATTGAGCAGATTCAATTTAAAACTATATTCTAATACTTGTATAATTATTATAGTTTGCTATATGATGATAATGGATCCAAAAAATAATTGAATTCAACACCAGTATATGGACCTTATGAAAAACTATACCTTAGTGATTGGGGTCAATCTAATATACATCATGAGATTGTGCAGGTAGTCAATACATTTACCTTTTTTCCTAAGCTTCATTATAGCCTTACTTTATTTTTATTTCTTGTATGTATATTTTAATGTAATTAATTTTCAATTGTTTATGTTTTTAATCAAGTTAAAAGGTTATTTATTTTAAAAACTATAATTTAATATAGTATACTATATTTTAATTTATTTATTTTTAGGCTTTTGATAAAATGAATATAAAACAAATGAAACCCATACAACAGAATTCATTTTTATATTTAATGAATCATTATAATACGGCAATGATTGGCTTTTCAAAAGGAAAATCTATTACCTACTTAGCGAGTATTTGTTCTTCAATTATGAGTAATAGTGATAAAATGGTATGTTATAACAAATTATGAGTTGATTTATGTTAAGAAGAGATAATACGTTAAGCTACTTGTACTTTTGTATTATTATTAAACATAGTTTTTTTTCTTAACTTAGTACTAACTTAATTTAAAAGATCTTACCTATTTACAGAAAAGTTTTGTCATTGGACCCAAAGCTATTATACTAAGTAGCTCTTCAGCATCGTGCTCTACATTAGAATATTTATCAAATAAACTCTTCTCTTCAACAATAAAAAAGAACAATGTTTTTGTAGCTTATGAATCTAGTCCAGTGCAACAGACAATAGTAAGTGAAACACTTGAGAGAATGCCATACTCCTGCTAAAGTGGTATTATACAGGCATTTTTAATAAAATGATGACAAAATGGTATTGTCAGTATCATGGTTGGTTGTTTTGGGATTAGAAAATTATATAAAAAACAGTTTTGCTCAAAAATAACTAAGTTACAGTGAAACTAAATGTATAAAACAGTATCATGATGTTTTTTTTTGTGAGATACCTTTTTATTTTATTGACATCATTAATTCGAAAATATTATTTAAGTTTTTAAAGTATAAAAATAATGAATATTAAACCATAATAAGTTGTAGAAAATTTCAACTACACTGCAATTATTTTCTTCTGTATCAAATATAAATAAGTTTTTTAACCTACAATTGTAACTTGAGTGATTTGTTTTTGCGGATAAATGTTTTTTATCTAGGTTTTGCAAACAATTTATGAGTGTGGAGTGCTATTATGACGTATAAACTTATTAAAAAATATTAACTACGTACCAAATTTCGGAGTTGTTAATTTTATCTATTTTTGTTTTTATATTTGTAGGCAGCTTTGTGTAATGGATGTGATATTTTAATTGCTACTCCAACAAGTCTCCAAAATGTAATTACCCAATCAAAAATATTTAATTATTCGAATCTAAGACATTTTGTTTTTGATAATGTAGATCTACTACTGGATAACTATAAAAATCAAGTAATTATATTGTTATCTGTATACAGTTTTTAATAAAAAAAATGTAATTATAAAAAAATTTTCAGATGCCTAATTTTCTTCAAAATTTAACAAACTTAAAGAAAATGAAGGATGCAATATACAATTGATATCGGCATCAGTCAAATGGAATAATGATGTAGATACATTTTTAAACCAGTTGTTTATAAAATGGCAGTATATTTTTGGATCTCCCCTAGAAGCTGCTCGTTATATGAAAATAAATTTGTATGTTAAACAAGTCAAGGATGATAAACTAGAAAAAATATTAGGTAAAAAAAAAAATTCTTATTAATATTACAAGATGTTAATTATTATTTTATTCTAAAATTTTAGAGTTATTAAAAAATAATATTAATTACTGTCAGAGGTTTTGATTACATCTGATGCTGATGAACTAGACATAATATCTAGTTATATTCAGCAACATGATTCTAGTATAGAAGTATTGGTGCCAAGTCAATGAGAATTTCAATGGTAAATTTATTTATATTAATTAAAAGTAAATTTTAATAGGTTGGGTATTTTAAATTGTTTTTACGTTTCCACATGGGGTTTTATTTATGTTTAGTTTATACATTGCAAAAATGGAATGAGCCATTAGAAAAAAAACACCGTTTATTAATTTGTAGTGACAATATGATGATTGATTTTTATGTTGTGGATGCCGATTGTTTAATACATTATGATATTCCCTCCAATAAACAAAATTTTTCAATGAGATTCAGTGTTTTACAAAATTCCAGCAATGTTATGATAGTAAGTCCCTTAAATTATTATTTTTTAAAATTTTATTTTTGTATATCATAAATTCAATATATATTGGAGATCTTAATGGTTTATAGACTCAGAAGCTTATATAGCTGGACATTAATCAATCTATTCTTAAATTGATATGTACCAATCACTTGAAGTTCTTTACCAATAACATTTTGATTTTTTTGTTTATAGAATAAAGAGCGTAGTACTTATATATTTTTGAGTAACAATACTAAAGATATGTTGCAGTTGCCAAAAGTAGTTGAAGTCATGAAAAGTTTTGGTAATGGTAAAGTGGATCCAATTTTGCAGAAACATGCCAAGGTCTTAAAAATATAAAATGCATCTGAATTATACTTAATACAATAGTATTGATGTAAACAATGAAGAGTACATCACATAAAAGGGTGCTATAGAATGTGGGATATAGAAATAACTAGCTATCAAATATTTTTCATAAATAATTGGAAAATAGATAATTTTTTTTAGCTCAAACATTTTCAAAATATTAATAAAAATAATTTTCAAAGTTATCTAATAGTATTTTCTGTAATTTTTATAACACATATTAACTCTAAAATAATTGATGACAGGTGTTTGTAAATTTGTTTTTAGTATGTTCCAAGTGTAAGAGACGGACAAATCTTGCTGTGATGTACTTTTGATATGAATAGGCTATCAAAATTAATTAAATTTTAAATATTTTTTAGAATTTAACTGACTCTCTAGAAAAAGAAAAGATAAATTGTTTCTTCTGCAGCGAAATACAACAATTTGGTTATTGTTCTAGACCCATGTCATGCAAGAGTCGTCACATTTTATTCAAGCAACTTGATGAACCTGGTGTTAATATTCCTAGGTTAGTATTAGTCTAAATAGTCTTGTAATAATTAATTTACATTTATCATTAAACATAAATATATTTATTATTTATTAATATTAATTAAATTAAATAATGTACTATAACTATAGTATTTAATACCATATGATAACATTTTTATTTTAGATCTGGAATAGCTATTGTAAAAATTTTAAATGTCTATGATGCATCTCACATGTCTGCTAAACTTTTGAAACTGAATTGTACAAATAATGTTAATGATGAACAACATTGGTCAAATGTAGTGGACTATACTGATACCATTAATCATAAGCTCAGTTCATACTTTTCAAAAAGGGATTCTGAGTAAATTTTAATGAGCTTATATGACGTAAACAAAATAAAACGTTAATATATTTTAAAATCTTTTTAGAGTTCTTCATGAAAACCCTAAACCTGGAGATATGGTTGCTGTACAGGTGGAATCTACTTCTATAAAAATGATTGACACTGCATATTTCAGAGCTCTTGTTATTAATGTAGTAGACAATAATACAGCAAACTCTAAAGTGATGGTTAAACTAATTGATGAAGGATATATTGAAACAATATCGGTATAATAAATAACATTTATTAATAATTAATCATTCCTGATGTTAAAATTGTTGATATGCGTTTAGAAATGGAAAGTGTTTGTGTTACCTGATATGTTAAAAAGTGTACATACTACTACTGTGGATATGTTTGTGGCATCCATAAAACCAATTGGCTTTGACAAAACATGGCCTACCCAAGCTAACCATTGTCTTATAAAACATTTGAAAGATGTTAATATTTGCAATAATACAATTATTGTAAAGGTATGATATTTAGTACTTATTTATCATATGATTTTATGTGTTCAAATATTAATTTTTCCAGGTTAAAATGGCTCTAGGAACTACTATATGGATTAAAAAAATGTATGAAAAATATTGGGATACAGATTTAAAGAAATATGGCCTTAGGGAAATTTTACCTGAGATTTTGTTGAATACTGGCTATGCAGACATGAATTTTGAACACATTGGCAATTTAACAGAACTTAGTGTTTCAGCTGGTATTGCCAAGCCATTACTATTAAAAAATAGTTTTGAGGATAAAAGTAATTTTAATAAATTATATTATTGTTCGTAATTTGTTTTAACCAGTTTCCGTTTTATTTTAGAAGAACTAAGCATAGAAGAGTATATGTCACTTTATAAACTGCCTCAACCCTAATGGGCTCATCTGGATCAAAGTAGCAATTTAGTTTCTGTAGAGTATATTATTAGTCCTAAAATGTTTTTTGTCAAAAATACCAAGCACTATGATAGGTAAATTATTATATTTGTTTATATATATTATACAAATATTACATTTCTAGATTCTGGGTGTTTGGTAAAAGCTTGATTGTCATTGTTATCAAATGATTTGGTTTTTATTTCCCTTAGAAAATATTTTAAGATTTAGTTACTAATTTTATTGTTCTTCTTAAACATTGATTTTCAGTTTTTTTAAAGTGTTAATCCTCAAATTAGATATTCAGATTTAGATTCTGAACAATGAATGTATTGGTCTTGCAATGGTGTTTTTTTTTATGAGTTGTCATTTTTTCAAGTTTGAGATAAATTTCTAGTATTGACTATTGAATATAATATGTACACTGGGCGTGTCAAAAGGTGATTCCCATTGCTTTTTAATTAATTGGGGATAAAAAAAATTAGGCAACAAAATGTTAATTGTTTTACTCAGACCCAGTTTTTGACAGGATCAAAACGTGTAAGTCAAGTCACTAACAGCTAGTAATGTTTATAAAATAATATTATAATATAATATATGAGAATTATTTTTTGAAAAAGTTCAACTAATAGTACTATTAAGGGGTATCAATACTCGATCGTTTCTAAGGAGTTCAACATAGGCAATTTTCTATTTGTGTGCATGTGGGTCGTCTAAATGTGTGCGTAGTAAATGATTATTAGTGTGAGTGACTGTGTATAAAATAAATAACTGAGCTGAACGTGCACGCACGTGTCAGTTAAGCAGCAATTTACACAATAAGTAATTACAAATGTGATTTTTAGTGTAATACTGAAACTTAGTTTTGTATTTCCAATAATATAGATTACTGAGTGACATTACAGTATGAACACCTATTATACAAATTGAAGAGAAGAAGTTTATCTAGGCTTGTAGAGAGGAGTCTATTTCCAATATTTTATTTTAAATGTCCAATATTTAGATCTAAAACTTGTAACATTTTACTTTTTGAATTTGAATTATTAAGTTTAGTAATTAAAATATTGAAAATTGACTTTTATACAGGCATAGATTAACTTCTCTACAGTGTTGATAATGAGGGACAGAGTGGCCGAGCGGTCTAAAGCGTCGGTTGCGATCCCAGTCAACGCCGGCTTGATTCCTCGGTCATGGGCGGCATTTTTCATCTGGCAAGTCACGGTGTCCGGAGAACAAGTGCCGCCATCCCCCACCCGGGCATGGTAGATACATACAGGTGCCCAATCAAAATTTCTGCCAAACCCAACACACGCGTGCCCCCCCCCCCCCTACCGACATTAAAACGTACAAAACCAATACAGCTAAAGGCCATAGATGCCGCCGGGCTTAAGATCAAATAAAAAAAAATATTTATAAGAAGTGTATTTACTCTCAAGCCGCTCAATAAACCATACTATTGGAAATTCAAAAATGTATTTACGTAGAATTTTTCAATGCTATTCATGCCCCTTGATAGCAATATAAATAATATATAATGGAATACCCTTAGAGACATAGGCTTGAAAAGGATTAAAAAAAAATTCTTTAATATTATTGTTATGTACCATTAAAAATATTAATTTAAGAAACTTTGAAGTACCTAAGCAAATTCATATTAGTGTGGTAATTGCACTCTCCATACTTGATTTTTATAAAAAATTAAAAATTTACCTATCTATAAATATTAATATGCAATATTTAAATATAATGTTTTAGACTTAACAATCTTCAACTAATGATTGATAAATATATTGAAGAAAAACAGTTAAACAAATTAAATGATGTTATTAATGGAGCAATTTGTTTAGCTAAATATCCACATACTAATAAGTAAGAATTTTTTAATGGTATATATATATTATATTGCTATTTAAACAATTTCATGGTATAGGTATAACCGCGTTAAAATTATTGAAAAATTTGATAATGGAGATGTTGAAGTTTTGTTTGTGGACACAGGTGAATTTATTTATATTAAATTTCACTTATTACTTACAATACATCCAGATTTAATCACTTACTTACCATTCCAAGTAAATATAAATATTTTAGTTACATACCGGGTGATTTCATTTAACTTAGAACACTAATTATTCAAAAAGTATTCATGTTTTTGAAACATTTTTTTCTACATGTTTTATTCTAAAATTATATTTTTTAAGTTTTTTTACTTTTTTGAATGACAACTTAGTTCTAACTTCATTTTCCAAAGCAGAATATTTACTAAGTATTTAGATACTTAAAAATTGAATTTAGGACAAATAGTTTATGAGTTATAAGTATTTTTCGTTTAGATGAGCGGAGTAGTGTCAACCAACATTTTGGGAGTAAAAGTGTACCATTCTATTCCGCTTATCTAAACTTTAAATACTTATAACTCATAAACTATTTGTCCTAAATTCAATTTTTAAGTATCTAAATACTTAGTAAATATTCTGCTTTGGAAAATGAAGTTAGAACTAAGTTGTCATTCAAAAAAGTGAAAAACTCGAAACATTTTGAGGATAGGAAATATTAAAAAATATTTATATATATTTAAAATTTTGTTTTTTAACTACTAAAAACCATGTAAAAAGTTATTTTAAAAACATTTATACTTTTTGAAACAATGTGTGTTCAATGATAAAGAAATCACCCGGGGTATACATAATAATTACATATTTATATTTATTATTATTTTATTTAATTGTTAGGCGATTGAATGCAGTTTAAGCGGCGTTAAAGATACATTACCTACTGGCAACGAGCTGAATGAACTAACTGACTATTTATTTGATATGACTCAAAATCCATTATATTTAAAAGTTAGTAAACCATATATCTAAAAATTTATTTTTAAAACTAATTCTTTACATTTCAGGTTATTAACACTATTTCATCAACAACTTTTACTGGTGGTAGTCACTATGAAGTGATTTTATTTGATGCAGAAATAACTGTTAATTTAGAGTTTCAGACAAAATTCAGTCAATACTGTGATACTCTAGAAATGTCTAAATTGTTAAATTGTATAAATACTGAATATTATAATGAAGACATTTGCGAAGAAGATAATGCCAATATTCCATATGTTATTGATGAAAAAAATTTAGAAATCGAAGATGATTTTGCTTCTGAAATACTAACTTCTATTTTTGGAAAAGTAATCAATAATTTATAGAATTTAAAATATCTAATTTTTCTTACAAGTGTGCAACTTAAAAAATGTCAGCTTGAATTTCTGATGTTTTGTTAGTTTTAATATTAGAGTGAATTCACCTATTATAATCCTATTTAAAACACTGTGGTTTGTTGTATGTATATTCCTTTCATATTTAAATTTTGAAGTGAGATAAACATTTTAAAAATTAATATTTTACAAAATATACAAATTTTTTTAAAAGTTCAACCCTAAATATCCCCCAAAAAAACTTCAACAAACCCATGTAAAATGTTGTTACTTATAGATTTGATACTAAATTCATTCTCATATTGAGACTAAAAAACTAAACTTAGACTGCTAAGTATAACTTTGCCATATTCACTTGAAAGACAGAGGCAACACATGTGGGTGAAACGTCCTTTTAAAATAAGATAACATATAATGATTAGAACATGCAAAATTATTATGTATACACTTTTTATGATATGATTACCAATTTGAAATTATTATAATTTTACCTAATTGTACCTTTGTAAACATAATTTACAAATCGGGAAAACATTAAATAAATTATATTAATAGTCAGTCATTTCACTGCCAATATTTAAAATTAATGAGTATACATTTTTTAGGAATTTGCTAATAGTTTTAAATGCATAGACCAAAATATTGAGGATGTTAAAAAAGAAGAGTCTTTATCAATCACAGATGTAAAACCAATAACTGAAAGTGGACCTCTTAAAGATTGCATTACCGTCGAACCAATTAAAACTCAAGAAATAATACCTATTAGTAATGCAGTGATGCTTAAAGATAAGTCTGTGCAAGATAATTCCAAACAAAAACTTAGGGAAAAACGACGAAACATTTGCTTAACATGCAATACTAATATACAATCAATTATTCCTATATGTACTTGGCATCAAGATAGAAATAATATTTATTTAAAACTCAATATCCTTGAAATAGATGATTTCAGTGTTGACAGTACATTAGAGAGTATTAAGTTTAAGTAAGATTATTTTGTTATGTGTAGTAAAATTGTGCATTTTTATATTATACTAAATGTATTATTTGCAGATCTCGATTCAAACATTTTGCATACGAGTTTTGCGTTAGACTTTACGGTTTTATTATTGATAAAAGTATAACACATAGACATAATTATGAAGGATTCCAAATCAAAGCTGAAAAATTATACAAAACAGGTATATATTTTATTATCTATAGATTAGTAGTGGGTTCTTAAACTATGGCTTCTTAAAATGACACAACAAAATCTCTACACGTCACTATAGTGGGTACTGTGTCTGACCGTCTCAGAACGTAACCTGGTCGCCACACGAGACTGATCTCATTTTGGACATAGTTTAGTAAATAGTCTTATTTACTAGTACACATATCTCTAATTGGTAGGTAGTTCACACTACCAATTTCAGACTACATACTTAGTGTCAGGGTTCACCAAGAAAAAAAGGTTACACTATATTCTGTTCCATCTAAGAGTAGACCGCTTTCACACACGCAGACTGAGCCTCCGAACAGTGCCTGACACCCCATGCGATTGTTTTGCATTATGTGATTGGCAGACAGTCATCGGTTGTTGGTCACCAGTGCTAACGCTCTCACCAATGCCCGGGTTGTGGTGGGAATGTGCGGAAAAAACGTGTTTTGGTCAGCCGAGTGGTTCACTCTTAGATAGAACAGAGAATAGAACTCTATATTATATTATAGAGTACACAAAGTACCAAACCATGCTGTAAAAACAAATTTTATGACAAGCTTAACCTTGACAAAATTACTTTATATAGAGTTGAATTAAACTACTTGGTATTGTATTTAACTTAATCCAACATATCCACCCAAATATTCAGACTTATTATTAGGCTTTGGAATAATATCTTTACTAAATAGTCAGTATTATGTATGTATTGTTATTATAATTATTTTTATAAATAACTATTTTGATGGTTTGAATAGTACCGTTAGAACTTTAATTTAACTCCGTTGTTAACTACTCGAGTTTGAAAAAACAATTGAGTATGCATCATTACTCATGATTAAATCAAGTCTAAAACTGCAGTGTTGACATTTTTACAGATTACAAATGGCCACAGTTATTTTCATGTAGTAAACGTCATACATATGTGAAATATGATACAAACCACATTGAAATCAAAGACTTAACTATCTGGGAAAAAGGTATTATCATTATTAATTATTTGTATTATTATAAATGTGATAATTGCATTAGAACAATTTTTATTATTCAACTTATAGGGTGTTTCACCGTACATGTTCACCACCATTTCCCTAATACTCGATGCATAATATTATGTTCACATTCTCAATTTTGGAATTTTAAGCACCTGTAAATTACCTTATTTTTGAAATACTAATATTTTGTCAACATTTAAATAGTTTCCTGTTGTATTTCAAACTTCCTTTTTACAAATATGTTTTTGGGCTGGACAGACATTTCTCTGAACAATTTCTCGTTATATTTGCAATCAAACAGCAACAAGGATGAAATAATGTTTCAATTTCAACCTTATAATTTTGTGTTACAGTACCTAGATTGCATCTGGTAAATTATGATTAATAATATAAATACGTTACCATAGAGACCTCATTATTAATAACAATTCATAATTTAAAAAATATAAATATTGTCATCATCATGCATTAGCCACTCCTTAGTGGCTGAAAATATCTAAATATAAAAAAATATGGTTCTTAAGTATACAAAAAATTTGAGTTTGGACAAATGTATTATTAATGGACAAAATCATCTTGGATAGTTATTATCAATTTTGTTAAAATTTTTTTTTACAGCCATGAACAAGTTTAAATTGTCAGCCAAAGGTACTCCTCTGAACTCAATAAATGATGAATATTCCAGTAGTGAAGGCGAAGATGAAGAGCACATAGATTTTGATGATTCTATTGATGATTACTAATACATAGTTGTATATGTACACTTATATATTTAGTTTTAATATTTTATTCTTTCTTCTTTGAAAATTTTCAAGTTATTTTAGTAATGTACCTCAGTGAGAAGTAACCAGTACCATGTATATCTTATTGTTTAAATTTTTTTATTAAATAAATTCACTAATTAATATTATTTATCATTTTTTGTTTTTGTATATTTATAAGTTATAGCTATTAATAGCCTTGTTTCCCAAAAATAGTTTGTTTTCTGAGTTGCAGTAATTTTCAATAATTATTACTAAGATAAGCTATTTGTTATTTAAAGGAAAAAATTGCAACTGACCCTTTCATATAGGTGGGACCCCCCTAAATCCATAAATATGATTCTATTTAGTTGATTCCTGAAAAAATAATTTATATAATTATCCACCTCAACATTCTTTGCCTAACCATGCCAAAACATTTCCATTCTTAAATTTATAGACAAAAATATTTTATTATCATACTGTATAAAATTACATGACATATGAACAATTAACATTAACTTAACATCGGTTGTAAAATGTTGGTATGTGGTAATCAGAACTAAAGCTGATTATTTAATTTAGATGAACATAGTGTAGCTATCTGAAATAGAATTCTTAATTGAAGTTATTTTTAGTGTATCGGTAAGTGTAACTGATGATTCAGTATCAATGGATCCAACAGAATCTATATTGGCCACAACATTTTGATTATCCAGATTTCCTTCCATAATATTTCTAAGTGCAAATAAGCTCCATTCTCGCATCACTGAAATAAAATTTTAATGATTCACTAATAGTAACGAATAATTTGTATTTGCTAATAGTAATGTATATGGTTTTTGTAAATTATTGTAACTACAAAAAATTGACTGTCTTATTACTAGTTTAACCTATAGAATTTGTTTTGTTGCTCCATTTATCATGAAACAAAAAAAGTATAAAAATAAAACCCATTCAATTTCCTAACATTTGAGCTTAAGGGTTATGATGCCGGTAGGTTTATTAATGAGAAAAATTAGACAATTAAAGTCACAATGTTATCGGCCTTGCGTGGAAACGTGCACGTGTGTGCTTATGTAAAATTGATATTAGTGTGAGTGAGCTATAATACATGGCAGATAAAGTATTAGCATGCACATATCAGTGATTACTTTGATAAATTAAGGTTTTTTAACAATAAAGTATTTGTTGAAAATGCAGCACATAACAGTCAATGTGATTTCCTTCGCTTGTGGTAATCTCGCAACTAAACTCCCATCGCGGGATCGAGGATATTGTCAATAACTAAACAGTAATTTAGTTTTTTAGTTCTAGTCACCAAGGAACAATAGTAGGTGATGTAGGAATGTTCCTGAGCCTCAAGGAGATAATCTAATTGGAAAAATGCAGTGTGAACAATATTTAGTGTAAGTTGCCATTTAGATAAATACTTTGCCATTGCGTTGTCGTTTGGTAAATATTGTAAGCATAACTTAAAGAATATATTGCGCACCAAATTCATTTATTATGTACATGATTATAAGCATGACATGTTGTGTTTTCCTTACTCGAGCCTATCTAAATACATTTTTGATAATGCTTCTTATTTATTATATTCATTATTTAAGTTCCTCCACTTCAGTAGATAAAGTTATATACTTATGTTACACTTATAATATATGTATGAAGTATGAACCATACTAATATTAATTTGTTTGATTTTTTGTTGTTATACAATAATAAGAGCTTAGTTTTGGATAAACTAGGTAAAGAATAATAAGAATAATCTTCTATTGACCATCAATAGTTTTTATTTTCACCCTTTTATTCTTACGTTTATTTTTGAATATTTAATTTTATCATGTTTATATACTAAAGTGTTTTTGAACAAAAACTTATTATGGATAGTATTTGTTGATAAAATGTTAACCATTTAATAACTATACAGGTATAAATATCCTAATTAGGCCCAATTTATTTAAAAGATATAATTTAAAATCATATTGTTTTTTTTTAAGCACTACTTACATGTTTAAATTTTTTATGGTTACAATTATTAGTTAATTTAATATATTTTTGTTTAATCACATTGTAAAATATTATAATGATTTAAAAATAAACTAAACAAATAATTGTTTCTTAATTCAATAGCAACTCATACCTACTTAAATATTGAATTATGCTTGTATGTATAATCAAGTATGTGCACATAAGACATTTACACATGTACCATTATGCCTATTGTGACACATACATTTACTGTGCGAATGGACATAAGATATAAAAATGTTAAAAAAAAAAATGAATAGTAGTAATAATTAATACAAAATGGTAAGTTATTTAAATAATTTTAAATTTGCTAACTACTACTCACTCATAATAAGTTGCCTGGCTGATAATTAAAAAAATTGTTTTAACTAAGTTAAGTTTATAATTTTTTTTATTAACTTTAATTTCTAATTATAAATAAATAAAAAAAATTTCATATTATAAAAAGTCTCAATTAAACCGTGGTTTTCATTTATCGTTTGACCCCTCCCCACCATTATCCGGAAATCGAGGTTAAACTGTAGTTAATACAAATGGTAAGTTATTTAACTAATTAAATTTGCTTACTACTACTCAACTCACTAATAAGTTATCTGGCTGATGATTAAAAAAAATTGAGGAAATTATTAACCGAATTAAGTTTGTAATTTTTTTTTATTAACTTTAAATTGTTCATGAGCAACTTCACTAATGCAGTTAAGCAGTCCATGTGACACTTACAATTTTTGATAAAATATTTTCATTTACATTTTTTACACACTTACAGAGCCACAAATTAAATATTCAATAAACAACAGTAAACAAACATTTTTAACAGTTATTTATTTGCTAGACTTAATTTGAAAATGTTACAAGTATATTTTTGAAGAAAATGAGTTTAGACTATTGGATATTGTCTGTTTATAGACAATATATACTATATAGTACATATTTAATCGAATAGATACAGTAGTATAACTCTGACCGTATACTTATACAATTTTAACATCAACTTTCAAAAAATTGTGTCTTGCAATTATGTGCTAAGTGCCGATATGTGCACTTATAACTTTTTCCCACTTACATCTATCTTGGATCATGGTAACCATTGGCTCAATTTGAGGAGACTAGGGATAGTTTAGACTCCTAGTCTTATTTAAGCCCCCCTAATTTTTTTCTATAATATATTAATCCAATTACCTAATAAGAAATGGTCAAATTAAAAAAAGTAACTCAACTATAGGATTTTGTAGCCAACTTAATAATCAATATACAAACATGTAGTCTAATAACTTATGTATATATTATAATCAATTATGAGTTTTATTGTTGTAAGTATTTAAAAACAATGATATGATACAATTTAATCATATAATAAGCATATTAATTTTTTAAATTTCAACAACATAACTAAAATCGTTATTCTTGTTTTTAAATAACAATATTTAAATACTTTAAATACCTACTTATAAGGAACATTGTACATAATATGGAATTTAGGTACAAGTAAATACGAAGTAATACAATAAAATAACTTAGGTAGGTATTAAATCATGCTTAGAAATTTGTAAATAATTATCAATAACGTACGATAGCCGATAACGTACAAACATTTTAAGTGCGAAATTTTTAACAACTATTTTGTGGCAATATTTACCTCTACGACTGTACATTATTTTAATAAGGTAATAAAAATACAATTTGTAATAACATTATTCATGGGATTATAAACAAAACACTCTATATTATTATCATGTTTATAAGTGAACTATTCACACAGTAGTACAGCAGAGTGCAGACGCTGATTGGCTGTATATTTTTTATAGCATTTAACCTATACATTGGTGATTGGTACATTAAAATAAGAGCTCATAGATACCACTTACCTATATTTATACATAGTAGTGGATCTAGGATTTTTTTATGAAGGGTGCTAATGTTAAGGCTTGTATTCTGTATACTCCATAGTAGTCCATGCTGATGGTACGACTTTTTTTAGTGTTCTAAATTAATGTTCTTAATATTTCAACATACAAAACAAAAATATTTCATATAGCAATATATATTCACTTTAGCTACACCCAGCATTTTTTTCTAAACATAAGTACGTATTTCAACGAGTTAAGCAGTAAAATCAGTGTTATATTTATTTTTACTCGACACCCTTTTTTCAATTTGTTTGATTTAACGTATTAGTTAAGTACGTCAGAAACGATGGTGAAGTCAAAATTTGGCCGTCAGACTTAGTTATGAAATTTTAGTTACTTGAAGTCCGAGGTGTTCGAGGCCTTTCCAAAGTGGTTTTACATAATAAGTCGAGGGACGTTTATGATTTAAATGATCCGAGCAACAAGCTAGTGACCATAATTTTTTTTTAAAGTGTCAAATTTCAATGAACAATATTTTTGTTGCGGGAGGGAGTGGCCGAGCGGACTAAGGCGTAAAAGGTAGGTAATAAAAATACAATTGGTAATAACATTATTCATGGGATTATAAACAAAACACTCTATATTATCATGTTTGTAAGTGAACTATTGACACTGCATTACAGCAGAGTGCAGGCGCTGACTGGCTATATATTTTTTATAGCAGGTAACCAGCTATACATCGGTGATTGGTACATTCAAACAAGAGCTCATAGGTACCACTTACCTATATTCATACATAGTAGTGGATCTAGAATTGTTTTTATGGAGGGTGCTTATGTTAAGACTTGTATTCTGTATACTCCATAGACCATAGTAGTCCATACTGATGGCACGACTTTTTTTAGTCCTCGAAATTAATGTTCTTAATATTATTTCAACATAAAAATAACAATATTTCATATAGCATATATTCACTTTAGCTACACCCAGCATTTTTTTTTAAACATGGGTACGTATTTCAACGAGTTAAGCAGTGAAATCAGTGGAATATTTATTTTTACCCGACACCCTTTTTTCAATTTGTTTGATTTAACGTATTTAGTTAAGTACGCCGGAAACGATGGT